TCGTCGAGAGATTAAAGGTATAAGATCGAGCTGAGATCTGAATTTGTTGGCCGATGACGTTAACCCATGTGTCTTTCTTCATCAGGAACCGGATACGTCGCTCTATGCTCCTGCCTTAGATGCGATCAAGAATTTCATAAAGACCTCGACTTCTTCTATGACCGCTGTCCCCAAACCCCTCAAATTTCTCAGACCGCACTACGATGAGCTGACAGAGCTCTACGAGAAGTGGTCGGCAGGCGCTGTCAAGGTTGGTTAACCTCCAAATTCTCGTCTGGGTTGAAGCTTTTTCCTGATACAATGGTTTCTGATTTAGGACTCGCTGGCGGATATGCTGTCTGTTCTCGGGATGACGTACGGGGACGAGGAGAAGCTCGAGACGCTGAAATATCGCCTTCTCACCAAGGCAGAAGATCTCGGCTCGTGGGGTCACGAATATATTAGGCATCTGGCTCTGGAGATTGGCCAAGAGTACCAAAACAGGTTGAACGCAGAGAAAGATGTACAGGACCTGATCGATCTCTCATTGTCGCTTGTCCCCTACTTCCTGAGTCATAATGCCGAAGCCGATGCTGTTGACCTCCTTAGTGAGCTGGAAATCATTGAGGAGATTCCCCGCTTTCTCGACGAGAACACCTACTCCAGAGTCTGTCTGTATATGGTCAGCATGGTTAACCTGCTCACCTATCCTGAAGATCAGCAGTTCCTCCGGACGGCACACGAGATCTATGTCCGCTACAAGGAGCTCACAAAAGCAATTGTACTTGCCATTCGACTAAACGACACGGATCTTATCAAGAGTGACATCAATGCTACTTCTGATCCAGTGCTCAAGAACCAAATGGCTTTCCTGGTCGCCAGACAGCAGATTTGGCTGGATATGCCTGAAGAGGAGGAGAACACATCCTTCATGGACTGTCTTAACAACACATCGATCTCAAAGCATTTCAAATCTCTGGGCAAAGAGCTTGATATCCTTGAACCCAAGAATCCAGAGGACATTTACAAGACACACCTGGAAAGCAGCCGAGGCGCTGGTTTGACAAATGTTGACTCTGCGAGACATAATTTGGCAAGCGCGTTTGTGAACGCTTTTGTCAATGCTGGTTTTGGTAAAGACAACCTCATGCTAGGAGAGGATGACAAGGGAAGTTGGATCTGGAAGACAAAGGACGATGGCATGTTATCGACAACGGCTTCTTTCGGCATGCTCTTGTCGAAGGACACCGACTCTGGCTTGGACAGAATTGATAAGTTTACCTATGCCACCGAGGAGCAAATCAAGGCCGGTGCTTTGCTGGGCACAGGTATGATCGGTTCCGGCGTACGACTAGAGGCGGACCCCGTTCTGGCTCTCTTGGGTGATCCCGAAGTTTGGCAAGAAAAGAGCGTACCGGTCAGAGTTGCTGCCATCATGGGTCTTGGTTTGGCCTACGCTGGCTCCAATAAGGAGGAGCTCCTGGAAATCCTGCTTCCCGTCGTTGAAGATGTCTCCCTGGATATGCAGCTCTCGGCAATGGCGGCTGTCTCATTAGGTCTTATTTTCGTTGGCTCTTCGAATCACCAAGTCAGCGAAGCCATTGCTACGACTTTGATGGACGAGGAGCGACAGAAGCATCTGAAAGATAAATGGACCCGCTTCATGGCTCTTGGTTTGGCCCTACTGTACTTCGGCCGCCAGGAAGAGGTCGACGTCATTCTCGACATTCTGAAGGCCGTCGATCACCCAATGGCCAAGCCGACCTCCGTTCTTGCTTCTGTCTGTGCCTGGGCAGGAACTGGAACGGTGTTGAAGCTGCAGGAGCTTCTCCACATTTGCAATGACCTTATTGAAGAGAATGATGAGAAGAAAGGAGATGAACTTGTCCAATCCTACGCTGTCTTAGGCCTCTCCCTCATCGCTATGGGCGAGGAAGTCGGACAGGACATGATTCTCAGACAGTTCGGTCATCTTATGCACTATGGTGCCAGCAACATCCGAAAGGCGGTCCCACTTGCAATGGGTCTGATTAGCCCCAGCAACCCGCAGATGAAGGTCTACGATACACTGTCGCGGTACAGCCACGACAATGACAATGATGTCGCCATCAACGCGATCTTCGCCATGGGTCTCTGTGGAGCGGGTACCAACAATGCCCGTCTTGCGCAGTTGCTGAGGCAATTGGCAAGCTACTACCACCGTGACCAAAACTCATTATTCATGGTCCGCATCGCTCAGGGTCTTCTTCACATGGGTAAGGGCACGATGACCCTGAACCCGTTCCACACCGACCGCCAGGTTCTTTCCCGTGTAGCAGCCGCTGGCCTACTCACTGTCGTTGTATCTTTGATCGACGCCAAACAATTCATTCTTGCCGAACATCACTACCTCCTCTACTTCCTTATCACCGCCATGTACCCACGATTCCTCGTTACGCTAGACGAGGACCTCCAACCACTCACCGTAAACGTACGTGTGGGTCAGGCTGTGGATGTGGTTGGCCAAGCTGGTCGTCCCAAGACGATCACCGGCTGGCAAACACAGAGCACACCTGTTCTTCTGTCCTACGGTGAAAGAGCAGAGCTGGAAGATGAGCAATACATTCCCCTTAGTAGCACCCTTGAAGGCCTTGTGATCTTACGAAAGGTAAGTTTCTCGGATGATACTTCCGTTTGAATTTCTGTGTTCTTCCTGATAACTAACTGGCATGATTTAGAACCCTGATTGGCAAGAAAATTCCGCTTGATCGAAACGATGGTTCGTAACGCTTCTTTTGCAAGATGGGCTGGGTGCAGGGGGCAATCATATAGCGACCGATGAGGTTGGATTTAATGTATTTGAAACCGAATCGACAAATAACATGCCACGATCTAGTTCTAGACTATAAGCGACTCCGTGGTTCCGGATGTAACTGAATATGTAACTGGGTCTCGAGGAGGCGGATCGTATGCAATTATAGATGAATCCGAGAGCAGCAGAACGCGAATAACGTTCTTTCACGGATTGCGCGATTTACATCAGGTGTGGCACCAATGAAAAGAAATACTATGATTTCCTCTATACGTATTTGGAGACCTTTGTTGACAATCGACTCAGACTATCGCGATGTCAATGGTGCCTTGTAAAGGACTATACCAAAGGAGGCGCTCAAATAGGAAAGTAGGGCTTAGGGTTTCAAGCATGTAACTTTTTCCCGCCATGACATCCGCAACAACGAGACGATAGAGGGACTGCTCGAACAATTCCTTTCTTTCACCTTCATAAGATCGCTTGTATCGCTCGCCACGGACAAGAATGAAGCTCGATCCCAAAGCGATTCGGTACCTCACTTCCGAGGATTTCCGCGTTCTCACTGCGGTATGCCTGTCATTTGCCCCGCCTTTGGTGCTTCTCATCACAGCTCGTTGTCTGACAGCTAACAAGAGCTCTCCATAGGTGGAAACTGGAAGTAGAAACCATGAAGTAGTACCGACGCCCTTGATCGTACAGCTCTCAGGGCTCCGGGGCGGCAGTGGAGTCCATCGGTCTATCTCCAACCTGGCTAAGACTAATTTGATCGCGAAAGTGAAGAATGCGAAATGTACAGTTATTCGCACCTTGCTAGTGATGTACTTTGGATGAATGTCTTTGCTAATTTTATCCTGCATTCAGACGATGGCTACCGGCTCACTTACGGAGGTCTCGACTACCTGGCGCTGAACGCTCACCAGAAGCAGAAATGCATCTACTCCGTCGGAAACCAGATCGGTGTCGGGAAAGAGTCAGATATCGTCGTCGTCGCCAACAGTAAAGGAACACAATGCATCTTGAAGATCCATCGCCTGGGCCGCATTTCCTTCCGAACAGTCAAGACCAACAGAGACTATCTGCGCAATCGCAGTACAGGTTCATGGATGTACATGTCGCGATTGGCTGCGATGAAGGAGTTCGCTTTTATGAAGGCTCTTCGAGAGAACGGTTTCTCAGTACCCGAACCTATTTCGCAGAACAGACACACGATCGTCATGAGCCTGATCGACGCATTCCCGCTACGACAGATCTCGAGAGTTCCCAAGCCTGCGTTACTGTATTCGGAGCTTATGGGTACGATCATGGAGCTTGCTCGGTTTGGCCTTATTCACGGTGACTACAACGAGTTCAATATCTTGATCAAAGAAGAAGAGGATCCCGATGCGAAGGGAAAGGCTCCTGCTGATGCGGACAACGATGAGAATATCCGGCTGGTTCCGGTCATTATCGATTTTCCGCAGATGGTGTCAATCGACCATCCAAACGCAGAGATGTATTTCGACCGCGACGTGAATTGCATCAAGCGCTATTTCCAACGAAAGTTCCATTTCGTCAGCGATGAGCCAGGGCCTTTCTTCGCGGACGCGAAGAAGCAGCTCTTGAAGAATCCTGGGAAGCGGTTGGACGTGGAGGTAGAAGCGTCTGGTTTCTCGAGGAAGATGGCCCGCGAGCTGGAAGCCTACATGAAGGAGGTCGGCGCAAATGGGGATGGGGACGAGCCGGGAGAAGATGATGAAGACAGGGACGAGGAGGACGAACAGTCAGGATCGGAATCACAGGAGGAGGACGAGCATGGCGACAACTATCAGGAACGAGCGTCTGATTCTGCAACTGACGAGATTAGTGAGAGTTCTCGGAAATTGGGAGAACTGCATGTATCAGAGGCTTCTGAAGGGCGGCAGCCCTCAGCATGATAAGGAAAAAGTCAATCAACCTTAATGATGTTAATGAGTACATTATTTGATACTCTGGTTCTAACTTTAATTTTGTAAAAATTTCATGCGAAGTACACATAAAATGCTGTACTGTCCTATACTTCTTTGTGAACTCATGCGCTTATCGCAGCACTTTTTACGGTAGGCGGTGCGGCCACACGTGCATTTTTCCAAAAGTTCCGCCGAGTTGAGAGGATCCGGCAATCGATCACGAATCCTACTCATATACCCACCACTATTACTCTTCTATCGGGTTTCCAATTTTCACAATTGAGGCCTGGATATAGAGATTCAAGATGGTGCGCAAGTTCTCGAAATTCCCCAAGAAGCCCGCAGACTGGGTGCCCCCTTCGGCGCCGCTGTCGATGCGGAAGCAGGTATTTCTGTAAGTTCACCAAGGCTGATCCAAACATCAATGAGCCTTCTGTGACTCCTCGCTTTGGAAACTCTGTTTCACTGTGCTAACAATATATCGCAATGTAGACCTAACTTCACAATCGCCCTCATACGCACACCCTTCCTTCCCCCGCGATATGCCACATTCTACGTGCCCTTGAATTTCAACAAGCTCGATATGCGCGACTACCTGCAGCGCTTATACGGCGTCGGTGTCCTCCGCATCCGCAGTTACGTCGAGCAACAGAAAGTGACCCGCCTGCGGCCCCTGGGCAAGTTCGGATACGGCCGTCTGAGGAGACCGATGTCGAAGAAGAAGATGACAGTGGAAATGAAAGAGCCCTTTGTGTGGCCCGAGGCGCCGACGGATATGTCACCGTATGTCTACCCTTCTTGCCTTTTTTTTCATGGATTGGCGGTGTGGGGTGTACTAATGTGCTTTGAAACAGATGGGAGAAGGATCAGTACTTCAATGCGGAGAAGTACCAGGAAGAAATTCAGCGCTCGCAACGACCCGACGCTGCCATGGAGCCCAACAAGGCCGAGCGCGAAGAATACGCAAAGGAGGCGAAGCAGCTGCTGGACGGCACGAAGACCTGGAGACCGACTTGGCAGGCGTTGGGACTCAATTATGACCGGTCGATATTCAAAGCAGCCAAGGATTCGGCTTCGACAAGTTCATAGATGGCCTTCTTTTTCCTTTCTGCTTCATTCGTTCTGGGGATAGAAAAGCGGAATCTTGCTTCTTTTTTTGTGGCATTTTCCTTTCCCTGATCCCGTTCTCTTTTTACATGTTGATTAACTTTGTACCATATGTCGAAATTTCTTCTGACTATAAATACGATATTCAGGGGCCCGTAGTTTTTACCGGAAAGACTCCAATTTGGGCATATGAAGTTAATGATGGGCGGAATAGGAAGAAGTAGAATCAAGATGGCCATTAACTAGGCGATATGAGACGCTATGCTAGAGTGATTGGGGTTGAATGCGCTAATACAAGAAAAGAGTGACATGGTGATATGAGCCAAAACGGTTAATGGTCAGCGCAAGCAATGAAGAGGAATGCAGAAAGTATGAGTAGAATTCAGAGCAATGAAGTTCAAGTCGAAGAAGACCTCTACAGCCGGCTTTCAACAAAGTTCATGTGGTGTTGTCCTGGCCAATGGGCGTCAGGCCAGACCTGGCGAATAGCTTCCCAAATATGCCTGTGGTGCAATATATGTCAGTAATCAAATATGCTGTTTCAATGTGAGGATCAATCATGTCTTACCTGACATAGACAATCTGCAAGCCATCATGGACCTCTTGCGGTACATCCTTGACATCCTTCCGGTTCTGCTCGGGTAGGAGGACAGTCTTGACACCGGCGCGCAGTGCTCCAATCAATTTCTCTTTGATACCTCCAACAGGCATCACCCGTCCCCGCAGGGAGACTTCACCAGTCATTGCAATCTGGGGAGGCACAGCTTTGCCCGTGAAAAGGGAGATCAACCCGATTGTGTGAGCAAGTCCAGCAGAGGGACCATCCTTGGGGATAGCTCCTGCTGGGCAGTGGACATGCAAGCTTCGGTTCTTCATGATGTCCTCGTTGGGGTCATGTGTAAGACCGAGCTCAAAAGAATGAGCTTTGACCCAGGTCAAGGCGACTTCCACACTTTCCTTCAGAACATCGCCAAGCTTGCCTGTAAGTTGAACACGACCGTTGCCAGGCATGTCCGCAACCTCAATGAACAAGATACTACCCTGGCCCCCAGTCGAGTACGCGACAAGACCGGTTACGACCCCTGGCCGACCATGCTTCTCGGCAATCTCTTCGTCAAAACGCTCAATTCCGAGAATTTCTTCCAAGTCGCTAAGGGCAACCACAGGGTTGTACGTATCCAACCTGCCATTATCAACCGCATCTGCATATTGAACAGCCTTGTGTCGACAAATTGAGCCCAACTCGCGCTCAAGGTTCCGCACACCCGACTCTCTTGTGTAAGAGGTAATGACTTTGTCAACGACCTCGTCAGAAAGAACGACTTGGCCCTCGGACAAACCATTGGCTCTGATCTGCTTTGGAATCAGGTGCCTCTTGGCGATATGTCTCTTCTCAACAGTCGTGTAACCGGATAGAGTGATTGTCTCCATGCGATCGAGTAGCGGCGCGGGTATGGTGTCAAGAGAATTGGCAGTGGCTATGAAGAGAACCTTGCTCAGGTCGATTGGGATGTTGATGTAATGATCGACGAATGTGTAGTTCTGCTCAGGATCCAGGACCTCCAGCATTGCTGCGGATGGATCTCCTTGAAAATTGGCCCCGCCCACTTTATCGATTTCATCAAGAAGGAATACAGGATTGGCAACCCCAACCTTTTTGAGACCGTTCACGATTAGGCCTGGCATAGCAGCGACGTAGGTTCTCCGGTGGCCTCGAATTTCAGCCTCGTCCCTCACGCCACCAAGAGAAATCCTGTGGAACTTGCGTCCGAGAGACGTGGCCACGGATCTTGCCAAACTCGTCTTGCCAGTACCAGGTGGGCCAACGAGCAGCAGGATCGGAGACTTATCAGCCATACGTCTTGACTGAAGCAGATTCAATTTTGCTTCAAGGGAGACTCTGTCTGACTCGGACAAAGCAGGCACGTCCTTCTCGACAGGCGCTTCATTGGCAGCATCAAGTTCCTTGGTGAGTGCAGCAATTTGCCGCTCAACATCTTGGTTGGTTGACTGCTTTAGTCGCAAGACAGCCAAGTATTCAAGCAGTCTCTTCTTGATCGTCTCAAGGCCGTAATGGTCCTCATCCAACTGCTTCCTTGCTCTCTTCAGCGTTTCAGGCCCTAGTTTGTCCTCAGTGACCTTGGTCCAGGGAATATCGGCGATGTTTTCGAGATATGTTCGGCAGACGCCATATTCGGCGTTTGCCGGGTTCATCTTTCGAAGACGTCTCAGTTCCTTGTCAGCAACCTTACGAGCCTCGGGACTGAGCTCTGCCTCCTGGAGTCTCTTTTGCAGCTCGTCGACTTCGTTTATCTCCTTTTCGTCCTCATTGTTCCGTCCGCCTGCGGCTCCAGGGGGGGTCAAGCCCGTCAAGCCGGCCATGGCTCGCCTCGCCAACAACTCACGATCTCGAGGATCAATCTGACTGATATCAAACGGAGAATTTGGTGGGAATGACGAGGTGGAGATCGCAGTAACTTTGACGCTATTCTTGATTCCTTGGACCTGTCGGCCCAATAGCTCGACGACTCTTTCCAACCTAGTCCTCAGAGCAAAAGAAGCCAATACACGAAGTTTCTCCTCGAACGTAGGATCAGCTACATCTGCCATAAAGTCGGCCAGATTGCCTGCCTGCGATAAATCGGTCTTAGCAATGTACACCTCGAATTTACGAGCGACAAGCGGCGACAGGCGTGTGCCAGTCGAAGGTAGTAGAGACGACAGTCGTAGGAGGGTTATGAGTTCGCGAGATAGTTGTCTCAGCTGCTGGAACAACTCAGCGGTTTCTGCATCGTTGGAAATGGCATCTATGGGCCTGTATTAGCTGCGATGAAGAACATATCCTTAACAGCAAACGAATTTGTGCACCAACCTCGTTCATTGTGTAGAACCACCTCTGCCTCGAAAAAGGGCCTCTCCCTCAAGATGTGTTTGATGGTGAAACGTTGAACACCTTGGACCACGAGGAACGGCTCTGCATAGGCACGTCTTTGCACCCCTATCACTTTGCCGACCGTGCCATACCGGAAGAGATCCTCTTTTCTTGCCTGACCTGCATCTATAGCATCAAATTCCTCCTTCTTAGCACCACCCAAACTTCCGTCATCGATCAGCTGCTGGCCGTCGTTGCTTAGCAACGGCGAACTCAAAGGTACGCAACCGAATGTGATAGTGTTCCCATCTCGCTTTTCCAGATTTGTCTGATCGAGAAGAGCCGAGAGAAGGTTGGCAAGATCAGGGCGATTCGACACCGGTATGCGTAGAGTGACGCCAGGGAGCAATACGGAGCCTTTGGGTAAAGGCACTAAAGCTAACTTCGTCGCTCTGCCGTTATTGGAACCCATTTTCGGCCTCCCAGATCCGAAAGACACAGCTTGTGTCAATATCAAACAGAGCTATTAGTATAAGAGCAAGAGGATAGAGCGTTTGTCTGAAGCCAGTCAATTAACATAAATGGGCTATAGGGTGTCGGACGATCAGTTCTAAAGTCGCGGAGATGTTCCAGAACTCCATAGATGTACTCCGTGACTCTGGGGAGGCGATGAAGCGATAAGCGCTTCCCGAAGCCGAGGTTCGCGTGACCTACGGAGTACGTCAGTCGGATCCGGGGGTTGCGGTATCCAGCTCCAGACTGTTGACCTGGTTGGATACACGTCAATAGACCAGTTCAAGTAGTATCAACGCAAGCTTCTCAATAAGCATCACTAAATTCTCTGTGGTCTGGAGTGATAAAGGAAGTGGCATGCAGTCACTCCATCTGTTGATGATGGATCACAGGGATCTGTACTCCGTATGGGTATTTCACCAGTGGTAAGATACCTTTACGGTTAGTACCTAGTACATTACGGTACAACCTGTGACAGTACCTCGGGGGCGGAAGGCGGGTAACCACCATTAGTTACTGATTGCCCGCCAGAGCGGCTTCAAATTTCCCAGTGATATCTTATGATTTACTCCGTACTTGGTTGGCTTTCAGCTTCAAGACAGTCGGCCCTCTGAGTCTTTGATCAACAGATCTCCTGCACTTTTATCTTCGTCGACTAAACCTTTCGATCGACTCCAGTGCAGTCCCGGAACAAGCCTCGTCCACCCTTGTTGAAACGCTTATCGCAATGGCATCTGCCCCGCCTTCCTCCGAGGCCGCAAATTCCTCGTCGCGGAGAACCTTCACGATAGGGACACGCAAATCTAAGCTTGCTCTTATGCAAACAGACCTGGTTGTTGCAGCGCTGAAAAAGTCATGGCCGGAATATACATTTCAAATACACTCTCAGGAGACAGCGGGTGATAAGAATACAGTTATTGCTCTCCGCGAATTTACTACCAAGAACCTCTGGACGCAGGAATTGGAAGAGCTTTTGATGGCTGGTGATGTTGATCTCATTGTTCATTCATTGAAGGGTAGGTTGATCACGCCTGCCTCAGATTGCTATAGATGCTTGATACTGACTTATAATCGATTTTAGATGTACCAACTCAACTACCTCCCTCGTGTACATTGGGCCCCATGATGGAGAGAGAAGATACAAGGGATGTTCTGGTGATGAAGAAAGGATTGCCGAATATGGCCTTTTCCGAAATGCCCGCAGGGTCTGTCGTGGGTACTTCATCCATCCGCCGCACTGCTCAACTCGCCCGCCGATACCCTCATCTGAAGGTCCAGGATGTGCGCGGCAATATCGGTACTCGGTTAGCGAAATTAGATGCTGAGGATAGCCCATTTACTTGCATTATCTTGGCTGCTGCTGGTCTGTTGAGGCTAGGTCTGGAGGACCGCATATCCCAGTATCTTGACTCTAAGAATGGCGGGATGCTCTACGCAGTTGGCCAGGGAGCCCTTGGCGTTGAGATCCGCAAGGATGATAAGCTTCTGCGGGATATGCTCAGCTCTATCGGTCATCACGAAACGACTATGGCCTGCCTCGCAGAGCGAAGCCTCCTGCGAACTCTTGAGGGTGGTTGCAGTGCCCCTCTTGGTGTTG